TAGGATCGCCCCATAGCTTGCCGGGTTCCTTTGCTTAATATCTTCTACCACCGTCCTGCAATCCGAAGCTACATGTGCACTCTGTATATTAAGATCTGCAGCAAGTGCCAATGCTTCTCGGATAGCAAGAGCTTCAACAGTCGGAGGATCAAAACTCTTTTCACCACTAACGCTGATGCACCTTGAAAGTTCCCGTCCTGGTCACGACATATAGCTACTGCTATGCCGCGTGTCCGGCTCTGTGGTACTGCAACATCTACATTGAACTTAAACATTGCGTCAGGAGGTTTGATCCATTGGCTGGGTCTGCATTGTCGCCTCTCTGGTGGTTTACTTCCTATCTCCTCAACTGTTGCAAGATCTCTCAGATAGGCTTTAATAAACTGATGTGTTGAGTCTAGACTTTGAAAAATACCTTCATATATTGCCTTACGTCTCGCCTTCCATACTGACCAAAGAGTTACAGTCAAAATAATAAACTCCTTCTGTGGCAGGTGATCATGCATTGCAAAAAGCCAATTCTGGGCGTTCTTATCAGTGTTCATGCTTACTCGTTCAACCAAACAAACCTCTGACAGAGACCAGATACAACGTGACATGGTGCAATCAAAAAGAGCATGCCTCCGCAAATCAGCACAACCGCAAAGCACGCAGAGGTGTGTGGTCGACATGTTGCGATGATGCAGGACATCCATGGATGGCATGGAATGTTGCGCAAGTCTCTATAAGAAAACCCTAAGTTTTTCTGGGACTTTAGTGTGCCAAAGACCCTTCCATGCTTTGTTGCTTGCGTTCAAATCTGATGCTCTTGCGTTTTCCTCTATCCAATTCACTCTATGATATTTCTTGTTCATGACCATCCGGTAACATGATCTTACTATGAATCTCCCGCTTCTCTCAGCCTCCCAGGCCCAAAAATCAGCAATAACCCTGGTGCACAGCGGGATGGACATAATAGCGTCAGCATCAAAAGGTAAAAAGTTTGCTCTTATTAGCTCTTCTCTCCGTGTCGCTGACGTTGCATCAATCAGTTCAGAGACAATCACCGGAGGGTTATCTGATATAGATGTTATGGGGCGCAACGGACCAGCCCTAGGTATCCAGTTTGTCTCCCAAATCTTTATGGTACTCCCATCTCCGACTCGCCGAATGAGCCCTTGCCTTAATATGTCCCTTCCATCAATGACAGCTCGCCAGATTTGCGAGGGGCGGTTCCATAACTATGCTTCCAAGAAACAGCAAGTTGGGAAATATGCAGCTTTGGGTATTCTTGCACTTAAAGAGTTCGGATCATCCAGTATCCTCCAAGCTTGATGGGCCAACAAAGCAAGGTTGAAAATTTCAATATCTCTGAAACCCATACCTCTCATGTATTTTGGTTGAGTCATAACATCCCATGCTACCCATGCTGGCTTCCTCCTTCCTTGCTTACTTCCCCATCAAAATTGCCTGATTATTGAGGTAATATTTTCACACAAACCTCAGGGTAACCTGAAACATGCCATAGAGTAAACTGGGATGGCTTGGGCCACTGACTTGATAAGTACCTCCTTGCCTGCTGCAGACAATAGTTTCTCCATCCATCCTCTGACTTTCTCCCGTACTCTGTCTCTCAAGTATTTGAACGTGCCCATTTTTTATTGACCCACGTCAGTAGGAATCCCAAGGTACCAATCACTCAAAGACTCATTGTGCATGTTCAAAATTTGTTTTATGAGTTCTTTTTTTGAGTGAGTTCGTAAATGTAGCTCTACTTGGTACGTAGGCCCGTGACGGCATGGGCTCTGCAGCCCGTATATCACCTAAGATACATAGTGGGAGTAACCCAGCCTCCTTGGACTTTAGCGATTCCGGGCCGTTGGATCTGGCCCTTGATGCATTCTCGTCCATCCGATCATGCCCCAGAAGGATCCCATCCGTCGGATCGAACTGTAAAACTGTAGATCAAAACAGTATTCACCGCGTGTCCACCGCGTGTAGTTTTGATCGCCCCCCGAGGGCATTCTTGGAATTTTGCTCTGAGGTAAAAGCCCTGCCGTCTCCTTCTCCTGTCGCAAACCTAGCCGCCACATTGTTCCCCTCCAGCTCTCTCTCCCTCTCTCAACACTGCCATCGTAGAATGCCGCCTACAGCCGCCGCCACCGCCGTGCTCCTATCCACTTCTCCCCTTTCATCTCATGTCGCCGAGATCGTTGCCGCCGCACTGCTCTCCCGTCGAGCTCGCCCCTCGCCGTTGCTGGGAGGAGACGGTTGACCGTTTGATTGTATCGACGCCGACGAGTTTGGTGGGCACCGGGTCCTTCTACACTGTCACCGGCGCCGCCTCCTCGTGAGACCCCCACCATGGTGAGCTCCCCCACCCTCCCCTTCCCACCCCGCCCTTCCCCCCTACTCGCCCCTTTGCTTTGCACGGTTTTGGCCCCTCTGACCGCGGATTTCCGATCTAAGCTACTGTTAGCGCACGCGTGACGATGGTACTCTATGGTGATGTAGGATCTGTGGTGATGTAGAAGGGCAGCAAGGCAGCAGCCTCAACGCCACAGGTCTTCCTCCTCTCCCCTTCTCTGCTTCATGTTCTATTACGTCAAACTTGAGCATGTAGGTACTATTTAGATGTGTAACTCTAGATTTATGTGGTAGAAATATGTTCTGAGAAGCTGCTCAGAGAATTTGCTTCATATACATACTAACCCTCTCCTAAATGATAAGTAGATGAGGCAGGTGACTTATCTCTGTTATTTTCCAGACCAATAGTATTTTAGTAAGCTTCAGGGTATGTTGAATATGAGAGTTAATGAAGATGATCGTTCTTTCTGTTGAGAGTACACAATCTGACTCATTTTAAAATAGCACCTTATCTTTATGAAAACACTATTTATAGTATGCTCACCTAATGAATCTATTAAACGATCTAAATACCACTGGTTCACAGATTAGCTTGTGCCACCGTTGTTTTTTTACTTATCATGCCATTCTTATTTATGAGTCTGGCCTGGCACATTCTTCTTCCAAATATAGTATACCTATCTATAATATGAATACTACATGTGCAGAACACATATATGTTGACTTCTCATGTATGTGACTACTTCTTTGGACACATCTGTATGCGTGGAGCCTCATTTCTACAGTTCCTTGGCACAATGTGATACTCTGCATTGTTAAGTATACTTAAATTTGATTCTGTAGATAGGGTTGCTACTTTATATTCTGGTAAAGAAGAGGATGGTGTTTTGGTCCTGTGAAAATTCAAACCACCATCAATCTTTTGTCTAAATGAATTTCACAAAGAGAAGAGCAAGGGTGAACCAGGATTTATTGGCAGCATGATATTTTAATTGACGCGGTTCCAATATTTCCAGGATTCCATGAACCATTATGTGATCATTTCCAGTTTTGCAGTGGAGTGAGAACTAGAATCTTTAGCGTGTTCCAATATTTAATGCATATGTATCTTGTAATTGTGGAAATAAAAACTTAATAACCTTTGGCCGCGACTACCAAAGCTCAATGACAAATTGATAACATATCTTTTGTTGGGTGGATGTGGTCTCCTTTATTTCACTAATATAACTGAGCTTCAGAGAATGCCGTTTTATGCCATTTGATTTCCCTTTTCATTATTTAAAGGAGGAGGTGATATTAGATTACTGTTATGGTAGGTGTAATCTTTTTTCTTCGATGGTATTATACATTATGAGTATGGAGTTGTTTCATTCCAAGTACAGAAGAAATTGAGTCTGTCTTGAATCTGTGTTGAATTGTTTAAATTTGTTGTATTTTTGTATCTTCCACTCTTATTATACATTGTATCTTCCTTTTTCATGACTCAAAATAGCTGAGAAAGCATGGCATGACATCATTTGTTTTCCATCCTAGGCTCATTTCCAGGCCTGCTATTATTCTTTTTTGTCCTTCCTAAACTGTATCCTTTCTTTACCGTTCTCCTTTTCTTATGCAGGTAACCGCCGAGGATGTTTAAAAAGGACACCACCAATAGCAGAGCACTCTATTGCTGCAATTATATGCAGGTACAAAATCAATGCTAACTTTGGGGTCTCCCTTTATGGCCTTTCCTGTGATCATAAGAGCTACAAACAGATGCATTTGGTTTTAGGTCTGTATGATTTGATGTATTTATATTTATCCAATGAAAAAGCACTTTGCTTGCTTTAGTAGATAAGAAAACTCTCTATTTATATTATGATATATGTACATATATTATTTAAATGATGCACTAAGAACTTCTTGGGATAGCAATCGTCGAGGGGGTATTTACTTCTATATTGTCTGGATCGTGTTTACACAGTTTTCTTGGTTGTAAAAGATCTACTGTTTTATATCGACCATGCATATAATGTTTACTTAGGGAATTCCAAGTCTGGAAGAAATTATTGATAAAATGTGTGTACATTCAGATCCTCGTGTGTATGTACACTGTAGTAAGTGTCTGGTTGTAATAAAATGTGAAACATTAATTGTTCCTTTATTCAATTACGGTCTTATTCGTTGTTCCTTTATTCAATGACAGTTTTATCGTGTTCCTGGTTATGTTGCTCATGCAGTATATGATTATATGTACCATATTTTATACTCTGCTGCCTATTGTTATGCTATTCTCTGATGTATGCTTACGTGTCTCTTGCTTCTTATTTGTCCAGCGTGGTGTATGATGTTGTTGGGTTGTTGACATGGCCCGTGGTCCAGTTGCGGCTCATACTCAAGGCACGGTCGAGGCTGCTGTTGGGTTGGTAGGTGGTCGTGGCCGTGGCCGTGGGCGTTCTGCTAGTCGTCGTGGACGAGCCACTGGCCGTGGAGGTTCTAATATAGGGCGTGCCCCTGTTTCTGATCATGTCGCTGCTTGCCGGGTGCCTGACGCTGGAGCTGAGCCTCTTGACAGGCGTAGGGGTGTGAGTCGGCGGGTGCCTGCTGCTGGAGCTGAGCCTATCGCCAGGCGTGGGTGTGGCGCTCGGCAGGTGCCTGCCGCTGGGCGTGGCGCCATGCCTCGGCCAAGTGGTAGGGGTGTTCGTGGCCATGTCCCTGGTCGTGGTGCTGATTCTGGGAATGCAGCCGCTGCTGTTGTCCCTGGTCGGGTTGCTGGTCCTGGGTTCACCGCCTCTCCTAGGCGTGCGGTGGTCCCTGGGATTGCTATATGTTACGTGCCACATCAGCCTGTTGGGTGTCCTCCTCGAAGCCGTACAAGTATGTGTGTGTCCATTGTTCTTCTTTTACATTTTGTCTCCTAGGGATTGATGATAATTATTTCGTTACTGTGTTGTTTGCGACGTGGTTAGGTGATGGCTGGTTCCCTTTTCTGAGCTCGACCGTGGCTGCGGTAAATCGTAGAAAACAGAAAATGTGCGTTGAGTTTCGGCGCGCTCGATATGAAGGTGCATGAAAGTTCTTCGTTTGTTGTTAGTTGTTGTTGTTGGCCATGTGGTGTCTTACTTGGTTCTACATGTCCTGTTAAGAACATGTCGTTGATGGGCCTTTGCCGAAGGATTGGCATGGTTTCTCGGTTTATGTGAGTTCGGAGGTGACTGGGGTAGACCTCAACAGACGGAAAAGATGGAAAGTGTCGATTAAATTGCAACATCCTAGATGTGAAGGTGCACGAGATTTCATGGTTTGTTGTTAGTTGTTCCTATTTGCCGTATGTTCTCTTATTTGGTTTTACATGCCTTGTCAGAGATTGTTGTCCAAGGGCCTGTGCCGAAGGATTGGCAAGGTTTCTCGGTCAAGTTTGCCGAGTCCCTTAAAGGTACTTATTAACAAGACCTTTGTTGTTTTGGTTATGTGATTATTGTCTTCCTTTTACCCTTGGTTTGTGGCTGATAGTTTTGCCGTTAGCTTGCTATGCAGATAGGTCGTACTACGGCCCTCCGGATTTCTTGTGCCAATACTGTGGTGCCTCCTTATGGTTTGCTGAGTGTTCAAAGTCTAGGTCATCCTGGACACAATGTAAGATGGTTTATAATCGCTATTGTAAAGGCGCTAAGGTATATATTCCTCCCTTTAAGAATCCCCCGGCCTATCTTCGTGAGCTCCTTCGATTCGATGGTACTTCTCGTGCTAAAAATTCATCCAGACTATACGTGAGTACAACTGTATGTTCGCTTTCACTTCGATTGGTGCTACTATTGAACGCTCGTTTGGTGGCAGTCGTGGACCTAAGATTTTTAAGATCAGTGGTCAAGTGTCTCATCGTATTGGTTCGTTGGTGCCTAGCGGTGATGATACACCTAAGTGTGCTGAGTTGTGTATACATGACGCAGCTAATGAGATTAGACATAGGATGAATGCCTTAAATCCAGATGACAAGCCTACTGGGGGTGTGGATGAGAGTATTGTGGTTGGTCTTAGAGACATGCTTAATGAGTTTAACCCATTGGTACAAACCTTTCGGGAGGCAAGTAAGATGATAGAGGATCGTGGTGATGAACCCATCGAGGATATCTCGATTCGTATTATTGGACCTTCGGAGGGTGATAGTCCACGGTTTAGTTTGCCTACAACCACTGGGCTTGCTGCTTTAGTTGTCGGTGGTGGCTTCACATTAGAGGCATCTTCTCGGGATATTTTTGTTTGCAGTCGTTCCGACGGAAAATTTGCAGCAGATATCTTCTCTGAACACTGCATTCATGCCTCTGCAATACTCGTTGCTTTTCCCTTATGGAGAGAGAGGGTTCCAGGTGGATGTTCCTCACTTGATTGTTCCTGAAGAAGATGATGACGATGGACCTATAGATCCTAATCCTGCACCTGGAAGTCCGACCGTTGAGGCGTCCTCTTCATACCCTTCTGGGGGTGGTGATGCTTCCACAAATAGTCAGAATAGGATGACCATGCAGGATTACTATCGTTTTATGTTCCATTACAAGGGTGATCAGCCCAATCCATATATATGTTATGGTCTCCTCTCCTCCCAGTCGGTTGTTGATGCACGTGCGTGCATCGATGAAAGTAGACTGTGGTATATCATAAGAAATCAGGACATGCTTAGAGCACATGCAGGGTATTACTGATGCGGTAGGTGATGGGTGTGTTGATGGTGATGCTCTTGGGAAGAGGACCATTGTACCTTCCAGTCACATAGGCGGTCGTTGTTACTTCCATGAAAATTTCCATGATGGCCTTGCCGTTTGTCAGGTGCACGGTGCGCCTGACATATTTACCACTTTCACTTGCAATCCCAAGTGGCCTGAGATCACAAGTGCATTGGAACCAGGTCAGACGCCTTCTGATAGGGTGGATATTGTTGTTAGGGTCTATCACATGAAGCTCATCGAGTACTTGGACGAGATTAAGTGAGGCCGGGCTTTTGGCCCCATTATGGCTGGTATTGTGAATGTTGTGCTCTATGTGTGGCTATTTTTTTAATGATGTTTTACTTCTATTGGCTGGTCTGTCTAATTTTTTATGTCCTTTTTTCAGTGTTTTATACCGTTGAGTTCCAGAAGTGGGGACTGCCTCACGTGCATATACTTGTCTGGTGGAGAGGGGGTAAAGGTGAGATTGGTGTTGAATATATTAATTCATTAATATCTGCTAAAATACCTGATGCATTGCTTGATCCTCTAGGATATGCTTTAGTTTCTGAGTTTATGATGCACGGTCCGTGTGGTGAAATGAACGATAAATGTGTCTGCATGAAAAAGGGTGTTTGTTCTAAATATTTCCCAAAAGATTTTAGAGATACCACTGTCATTGATGATAATGGGTTTGCCTTATATCGACGTCGTGACGACGGTCGAAGGGTCTATAAAAATGGTCATTACCTTGACAATAGGCATGTTTTTCCTTATAATATGGCAATGCTCAAGAAATTTCAGGGACATATAAATGTAGAGTGGTGTAATAAGACACGGGTGATGAAATATCTCTTTAAGTATGTCACCAAAGGTGCTGACTACTCTAAGGTCATGTTAGAAAGGCTAAAAAAATTGACTAAATCTAGTTGTCGTACAGTAGATGAGGTTCAGGAGTATCTGATATGTCGGTATATATGTGAGTATGATGCATTGTGGCACATATTTGGGTTTGAAATACACTTTAAAATGCCGTCGGTTCAAAGGTTGACCGTTCATATGTCTGGCATGGATACTGTCTACTATCGTGCTGGTGCTGACCTCATGAAAATTGTTGATTCTGACTTCTTGCGAAAGACTATGCTTACCGAATGGTTTGTTGCGAATGAGATGTTCGAAGATGCTCGTTCATTAACTTATTGCGATTTTCCAACTACTTGGACCTGGGACGCTAAAAGTAGGTCATGGCATCCAAGGGGTGGAGGTGAAAAGATTGGCCGCGTGTATTATGTACATCCTTTGAGTGGTGAGTTGTATTACTTGCGCATGCTTTTGATGATTGTTAAGGGGGCTAGGTCTTTCAAAGATCTTCGAACATATGATGGTCGTCTTTATCACACCTTTAAAGAGGCTTGTGCCGCGCGCGGTTTGTTAGGAGATGATAACAAGTGGTACATAGCGTTTGATGAAGCGGTTGTTTGGGGGTTTGGGCATCGACTTAGACAGCTATTTGTGACTATGCTCATGCATTGTTCTATCAAGGATGAGATGGGGTTCTTTGAACATTACTGTGCTAGCATGTATGATGATATCCAACATGGGTTGCGTCGTGCCCTGGGTAATCTAAACTATGTTGTTCCTCCTGAAAGATTGAGAAATATGCTTCTTGATGAGTTAGCTGACATTTTCTTGAAACGTGGTTCTGATATAAGAAGTTTTAACTTGCCGTCTCGCTCTGGCGAAGGTGAGCAGTCTGATGATAATCGTCTAATTCGTGAGGAACTGTCTTATGATGCATGTGCTCTGTCTAAACAGTCCTTGGTTATGTTTGATAGTTTAAATGAGGACCAATTGGTTGCTTATAAGACGATTGTAGAGTGTGTGCAGGCGGGGAGACCAGGATTTTTTTTGTCTCTGGGTACGGTGGTACTGGGAAGACATACCTGTGGAGTGCAATATGTGCTTTCCTTAGGGGCGAGAGGAAGATAGTGCTTACTGTTGCGTCATCGGGCATTGCGTCGCTATTGTTGCCTAGTGGGAGGACTGCTCATTCTCGCTTTAAGATACATATTCTTCTTGAAGAAAATACACAGTGTGATATTAAAAGAGGCTCTAAGCTTTGTAAGTTGTTGATGGTATCTTCGCTTGTTATTTGGGACGAGGCGCTGATGACACACAGGAAATGCTTTGAGGCTGTAGATAGAACTTTGCGTGATGTCCTCTCTGTGGCTAATCCAGATCTTGCTGATATTTCGTTCGGTGGTCTTGGGTGGTGACCTTAGACAAATCTTACCGGTCGTTGAGGGAGGTACTAGGCCTCAGATCATTGATGCGGCAATCACGAATTCTCCACTATGGCATTCTGTCCAAAAATTGTCGCTTTCTATTAACATGCGCTTGGGTGTGCATGGTGCGGATACCCAGGTGCAAAAGGATGTTGCCTTATTTAGCAGATGGGTGCTAGATCTTGGGGAAGGGAAGTTGCCTGTCACAAGGCGAGGCAATGAGGTTGAGGCTTCTTGGATACAGATACCGGACGACCTCTTGGTTTGTACGTCTGGTGATCCAATAGCTGCTATTGTTTCTTCTGTCTATGGTGATTTTTTGCATAACTACCTGAACACTGGTTACTTGCAAGAGAGAGCCATTTTAGCCCCTACCAATGACCATGCTGAGGATATTAATGATCATATTCTTGCATTGGTTCCTACTCATAGCAGAGACTATTTGAGTGCTGATTCTATTGATGATTCTTCGGATTCTGTTAGGGACAAAGATGTTTACTATCCAGTCGAGTACCTGAATGCAACTAAAGTTATAAATTTCCCAAATCATAGGTTGACTCTTAAGGTTGGTGTTCCGATTATGCTTCTTAGAAACCTGAGCCAGGCAAATGGTTTGTGTAATGGTACACGACTAATTGTAAAAGAATTAGGTGATCGGCTTATCAAAGCTGTCATTATGACTGGCTCACATGTGGGTGATACTGTTTATATCCCCAGGATTGAATTATTGGCAAAGAAGGGAAATGCACCCTTTGTGCTTAGACGTCGCCAGTTTCCTGTTCGTGTGTGCTATGCCATGACAATTAATAAGAGCCAGGGGCAAACCCAGTATGCTGTTGGTATATATCTTAAGGGTCCTGTTTTTACTCACGGGCAGCTGTATGTGGCAGTGTCTCGTGTTACGTCGAGGGCTTATTTGAAAATCCTTATATTAGATGCTGATGGCAAATGCGGCTCTGAGACCAAGAACATTGTTTTCCCTGAGGTCTTCCGGGCCGCGGGGATGACTTAGGTTTGTGTATGATGGTAGTCTTCATTTTGGTAGGTTTTGGCATGCTTTTGTGAGTTGGGTGATATTTTGGGTGGCGACATATAGTGTGGGCTGAATAAATATGTCATCCCATGCGATGGGGGTGATATTTTGAATGTCCGCGTGTACTGGGATTGGCTTTATTCCGCGGTTTGGTTTATGTCATAGAGATTTACTGAGTTTAATGGTGAAGTTGTGTTTTGGTGCTGATACATTTGTTGTAGATGGCGATGACTGATCTGCAGGCTCTTCTTGTGGGGAACAAGAACCTGACCATCCATGTGTATGTTTCGCGTCTGTAGCAGCATTGTGGATCCACTGATAACGGTCCTATCAAACACACTGACATGGTCCTTTTGAATGTGCAGGTACATGGCTTCTCTAGACCCCATGCCCTATATTGTTTGTAATTTTCTCCTGCCTTTTCTGCTTGGTAATTGATGTTTGTTGTTTCTTGGCAGGTCTAACATCTATGCTGAGATTGGTAAGAAGCTCGTGCCTAAGTTCAATTGAGACAACCACATCCATGTTGTTTCTTGGCATGGGCAACCACATCTATGCTGATATTGGTGAGAAGCACGTGCTAATACCCTTTTTTGTGGCTTGCATTGATACTTTTCTTATTTGACCCCACCAAAATATATCTCAATGCAGCTATTCTCTAATCTAAACATGGATGACTTTCAATAGCCTCTTAGTTTTCATGCATTTAGCAAGAGAATCCTACTTTGTTACTTGGTTTGATAAAATAACTACAGCAAAGATGTGTAGCTTTCATGTCTTGCTCAATGTGTTCTATAATGATGAAAGCCTCTTTTATTTGCCAGGCTCCTGGGCTCCTTTATAGGTCTCTTGCCGTGAAGCTTGTGGTTGGCATGCATTTCAAGGTCTGATATCCTATAACTGTATCTTCTAGCATGCAACCATTTTTGGAGGGACTCAAGTTTGAATTGACCGATTTCTTCTAGCATTCAATTGTTATGAGGGTGGAGTTGGAGAAGGTGGGGCGTTAGAGCAGAGCCTATTGCAGCGTCCATGACCTCCTCGGGCATGGCCAATCCCGACAGGTTGACCAGGTTGCGGGGTTTGGTTAGCAGTATGTGTGGCTAGTGGTTGGAGCACACTGAAGTGGAGGAGCAGTGTTGTTGTCGACCATGGATTCAGGTAGTTTCTGATCTTCTCTCTTGTTGTGGTGGTCCGGCAGGTTACTGTTTAAATGATGCATTGGTCGCAGTTGGTGTCGTGCTTGCATGTCTGCTATAATGCCTCTGCTACAACATGACATATGTTAATGTAGTGTTTATTAAGGTTTGGTCGGCATGCTGAATAAGTCCAATATCCATCTGTCTATGTTTCTATACCTTATGGCTTACGTGATTAAACATGGGTTTATCAGTGTGTAGCAGATCCTGAGAGTTCTGTCAGGATAGGGAGAGACACTAAGGCAAAAGGCAAATGTACATGCTCCTTATTACTTATCAGAAATATTTTCCTGGGAGTCCATTTTCATTGTTTCTCATCTGAAATTAGATTCATAATGATGCCATTCCTACATCTCATTTTGTATCGGTTATCTTCTGATATTATGAGTCTTGGGGATTATAAGTGCCATTGAACTGTTCACTCTTATGAGTGATCATGAGATGCATGTACTGTTTGCCATAAGGTTCTTGCAACGTTTCCTATAGCTAGATGGAGCTGCCAAAATAATTGAAGTTAACATGTTTTATATTAGAAAGAATTTGATTAAACCAAATGTATTTTGCCATCCTTGTAGTTGGACTAATATCAAAGCAATTTCCGTTAAAAATTTCCTAACCACCAGACTATTATCCAAGCATTTTTTGACACAAGGTTGAATCTTAAATGGTGGATGGTTGATAATTTGTCCAGGTTGAGATCAGCCACTGATGACACGAGTCTTCTACCCTGCTCCATTGAAGGTAATCGAAGGCCTGCGCCTCCCATCATGATATCCTCTCTCAACTTGCACCTCTTCATGTGTGCTCCTCCTCCCAGTTTATTCTTACCACTCTTTGGGTTGTTTGATTCAGGTTTCTTTTTCTAAAATTACATCAAGTCTCAAGGAATGAGATGGAAGCGTTGTTCAGGCTCTATGAGAAGGTGAACTGCTCTATCAATGACGATGAACTCATCCAATTGGTACCTCCAAACAACTTACTTCCTATATGTTCTTGGGATCAAGTAATGTGATGTTGGTTTACTAAATTTGTGTTCCTATCAGCTAATAAGACCATCCTTTCCGTTTTCAGCACTTTATTGGTAAAAATTTTACCATCCGAGGATACATCCAAATTACAGGTTGTGCTATTTGTTATCTTCTCTTTTTATTCTGGATGCATGTTTCTGATATCCCTTTTTATTCCTATTCGTTGCATACCTTATTTATTAGAAGCTGTACTTGCAAGTATTTGCAAGATCAAATTGTTACGCAAAATTTTCTTTGCGGTGTGCATGAATTGCCCCTCCTGTATAAATTTTATGTCTATGAAATCTTTTTAGGAGCTGCTAGACATGGCTTCTTTTTAGGAGCACATGCTTGCTGATACGCTATTTTCATCTAAATTCCGTAAAGAATGGCATGGAATATTTTGCTTGGGTTCATTGGAAAACGCCCTCGCCCAGCATGGTTTAAGTTAACATATTCTGTACAAGTAAATGGTTAACATAGTCTGTACCTGCCTCTTGGGTGATTTTGTGAGTTGTGATAGATTGCTCCAGATGATGCATCCTCTACAAATTTCTAGGATTCAAGGTCCCCTGACCCTGGCCAAGGACTATGTTCGGTAGAATATGTGTTGCTAATTGAATTGTAATTTGTGCTAGGTGAATGGTAATGGAATACTCCTTCCGTTCAGAAATAATGATCGTAGTTTTGACCTCAAACTGCGTCAGTTATTTCTGAACGGAGGGAATACTTATGTTACAAGTAGAATATCACTGACCGCGTGAAGTTCAAAAATTTGTAGTCTTATACAAATAGAAAGAATATATGATCTGACCTCATTTCTTAATCCTACGGTATCGCTGCATTAGTTTACGAGCTGTTACACACATACATGGCTTGAAGTTTTGGGATAAATGGGACAAACATAGGGTTGCAGATTGTCAATCCAAGTTTTCTCCGCAAATCAATTTGACACTAATCCTTAGAAAAAAGATATTTCTGTTGCATAGATTGTGTTGTATAGGTTGTTGACTTGATTGACATCACTCCAGTTTTACGGTGGCACAAAAAATAATTTAATTCTGTTACTTGCAACTGCAACTCTTTCTCATCACACATAATGTTAACCTTATAGAGCCAAGGTGGTTATAGTTAGAAACCTCTACATGGATTGATTTAGGGTTTCAAAATAGTGTGAACTGTAAAACGTCTTATATTTTAGGACAGTGGTAGTAGTTAACATGATTGTTTCAGATTCTGCCATGGAAGCATTTTACCCCTTTTGCAACTTTTGTTACACTAAATTAGTACCGACTGGTAATATTTCTTCTCTGTATATTTTACGTTATAGGATTAGAACGAAAAGAAGAAACTACAGCATCACATAACTGCAGCAAAGAAGGTAATGCATGAGATGGAACAGGGTCGTATTATGGAAGGTTAGCTCTGAATTAATGTTCATCATATGTGCTATGTACTAATGATTGTCTTCAGGGATTATTCCATTCATATTGCTCTGAATTAATCGTAATCTCATGCTACCTCATTACCTTATTATGTTACAACTTTGATGAAAAAGCCATTGTTGGTATTTGGAGTGCAGACTGTAGAATTAGGATCCTCTGACATCTATTTACTACTTTGAATTAATTATTATTCGATGACCATATAAATACACATTTCCAGATAATATATATTAGTTTGTCTATTCAATGGTGTCATTTTCCATTTTTTATAGGCATTAAGATCTCCCTGTTATTTTTGTTCTAAGGATGCACTTCAGTATTATGTAACTATGCTGATTTTACTGTCAGCATAAATAATAAATGAGTTAAGATTTCTGCTACATAACTTTACACCGTAACAAACCTGGAGACTTCTAACTGGAAGATACAATTTTCATTTTTGAAGCGAAGAACAGAATCCCTGATGTTCCACGGAGTGTTTTCAGTTAAAGGTAAAAAAAGGAAAAAGGAAGTCTGGAGCTCTCTTGGTTGTACAACAAAGAGGGGTTACTTCACATACTCATCAGCAGTGAGGCTAATATCATCTCTAATCAAGTGAAAAAGCAAGGGCGCATCCTTAGATTTCTGTTGGAAGACTTCTATTTCTCTCATTCCAGATGTGCTAGCATGTGCAAGCAGTGAGAGTGTACTTTTTATTGATATGAATCTTCAGGCTTCATTTTGAAATTTTGGGCCACGAACGCTTGATCGCAAAAGTAACAGATATCATGGTGAGGCAAGTTTCTGTTTTGCATGTTGCCTTATTTCTCTTCTATCTGCAGTTTGCTTCCACATTCTATATGTTTGCGAGGAAATTTCAAATCAATTTGTATGCTCATCACTTGTTGCATCTATAATACGTATGTGAATCATGTACCTTACGGATTCCTTAAGGGCCTCATGATTGTTGGTGTTTTTTTCATACGAAAACACCAAGGTTATTATCCTAACTATCATAGTTTATACCAGCAGGATTATCATAACAATTATGCAATTTTTTTCCAGGTGATTACATAGTTAAAGGTAGTGAATTTTTTTAGTCCTGTGTGATTTCTTATCAACTGAGCTATCAAATTGTGCATTACGTACTTGGTCACAACGTTGTAACCGGCACCCTCGCGCCAAGGCGCGTTTCCGATCTCATTGGATACTTTCGTACTTTAGTTAGAGGCAGAATTGTCAGAAGCAAGCATAGTGGCCATATGATGAAGCCGATAAGTGTTTAGTAGAGACTCCAATCAATTCGATCTCTCCATGATCTTTACCGCATATGATATTTTCCTTCTGGGTATTTAACTTTGTCAAGTGCATGCTATGGTTCAGAACAAAATTCAGTTTCCAATTATAATTCAGTGATTTTCTTACCTTGTATTTTATTTTGCATAATTGTAGAAATTGCGGTGGCCATCCGCGGATCTACTGTTCCTGGTTTGCTTTGTCGAGGTATGACCTTTCATAATGTGTTGTATCTTGCAATATTATTTGATTTGTTCTTGCCATCATTTTTCAGTCTCTTGCAATATTATTTGATTTATTTCTCTCATAAACAGAGCACAAGTTGCCCCTTCTAATTGATCTGTCTTGTATCTATATGGTGCAGTGGTGTGTT